GTTTCTTGCTTCTCACCTGACTTTTAGTTAACAGCTTACATGATCTACCCCTTGTTTAGCAAAGTGTGCAGGGAAAGGATCTCTTGAAATTATCTGTATGTTTAAAAATACAGAACCTGCTTTCCTGCACAAGCTGACATGTTTAGTCTGTTCTTCCAACAATGACCATTCTTTGCAATGTTGGGTTTTTGTAATGTCTATGTATGAGAAAAGGGTCTGCTTTTCATGATGTGTTTGGTTCATATGAAAGATTATCCTTTCTGAGAGACTTCAAGGGAGCAGGGACATAGGGTTAAACTACCTCTTAGTGTATCTTAACATCCAGTGCATCACTGTGCTCTTCTCCATCAATACATGTAATCTTATTTATTTTTGAAAGAGGCTAAGAGGACCTGTGGTGGAGGCAGGACAGGTGACCAGAAATTTCAAAGACCCTGTTGTCATTGATTCTCTTTATGTTACCTTGTGGAAATTACTTAACCTCCCTGTGCTCCATGCCTGGCCTGAAACATAAACCAACGACCTATTGTAAGTGACTCTACAGTAGCTACTGTTGAAGCTCAATTCAGGATCTAATTTCCTAAAGCCAGTCTTGATGAAAACGGGCACGCAGGAATGCTGATAAGAAACTAATCTTCCAGTGTGAATGAATTTAGAAGAAGAGGACATCTCAAATCCCAGAGAGAATGCTACTGGAAAGTTTTCTACTAAACATAGTAAGGTTGATTACAACTACAGGACAGACAAGTTTTTGAATATAGAGTGGAAAATGTTTTTATAGGGCTGGTACTGCAGTGCAATAACACAATGTTAAGAATTTGATGGTGAGAGAGCAGGACATTTCTGCCAATCATTTTCTCTTTGTGTGTCAAGTGTGTGATGAAAAGGTCTCATGCATATTGTAAAAAAAAAACCACGCAGACTAAAGACATTCGTCAGGACTAGCGATCAGTGACAGAAAAGTGCAATGCCTATTAATTAGAACCTGCAATTAATTCTCTGGTTGATAATACATGCTAAAGCATTTGCTTTGCCACTGACCCTGAAAATGACAGTGATATTGGCACGCTTACAGTGTCATTCTGTAATTACTAGGTTGACACCAATGTTTGCAGTTGGTGAAGCTCAGCCTCTGATAAATACCCACTAGAGGGGAGTAGAGAAAGGCTTAAAGCTTTAGCGACTTAATAGACCTGAGATTGAAATTACATTCTCAGGATTATGCCAATAATTATAAACCAGCTAAGAGTCATCTTATGTATTTGGCAGAATTGTTAAATAATTTGCCAGGCTAATGGGTTTTATGCAATACTGAGAAGAACCTGGGTACTGCAACTTTTCCCCTGAAAACAATTAAGCAGGTTTCTACATATAGAGGGAATAGGATAATGACTGTGGGTCTGCCCAGCACAACGCTCCAGATTATATATCACTGCAAGCAGCTGATGATGATCATGGAACATTCTCCAAAGGCTTCACAGCCATTTTATCCATTAAAACACAAAACTAACATTCAAAGCAATTTATTTGAAGAGTCGCGGAAATGTAACATTTCTATCGAGAGCAAGGGCTTCAGGTTTTTTTTAGTCTCCCAGCTGCAGTCACTAACTCATGTCCAAGAATTGCTGCGTTCCCTGGACTGTCAGTGCACAACTGCAACAATAAATATGAATCATGCTTTTTGTTTGAGGCCCTACCAGCATAGACAGCCCTTTGTCTTCTAAGTCAAACTTGTGTGCATTTTTATGATCTGCATAATTATTCTGTTCTTAACTTTGAGCTATGTTGTAAAATGTGTTTGCACAAAACAGAGTGGAGCAATTAGTTTCTTTCTTTTTAATTTTGAAATGGCCAGCTTGTTTCCAGTTTATCCAGTTATCCAGCTATTTATAACTGGCCAGCTATTTCCAGTTATTCCAGAGCCTGCAGAACAGCTCCTGCAGTGCGGAGGAGTGCTGTGGCCCTCAAAAACAACACCATAGCATTATAGGTGCCTACAAGTCACAGAGGGAAAAGAGTGCTGCTGTATAATAAAGGTAAGATACCCTAACTCTAAAGATGCTGGTTTATTGTGTGGACCCAATTCCCAAAATCCGAGACACAGTGAAGCTAACATCATAGATCATGCTCAAACCAGCCACATCGAGCCTGGGCTCAACCTGGTGCAATTGGTTTTGTAATTTTGGTTCAGAGAGAACAGTGCCACCTACTGGCCTGCTAACACCACTTGCAGCAGTGGTTTTTCTTCTCCTTGGAAGTGTCATCTCAGTTTTGACCAGGCCCAGGCTTGCTAAGATTTTAATCTAATGTGATCAGGTTGTACAGTGATTCTATCTTGATAATCAAAAGTTTTAAAACATTTCGCTTGTAATTTGAGCTTTGCAAAGGAAACTCATCCGTTTTTACAAATCTGTATTTTTTGGGGGACTAATTACACTTTTCCATTAATTCGTTACATTATATTGTAGCCTTCCGCTTCCCCCCCGGCTGTGGACTGGATCGTCGCCCTTTGACCCTTCCCAGCAGCAGTTTCCCTTTCCTCCCAGAAGGGCTATATAAGGGGGAACCCTCAAGCATTCGCTCTCTCTCCCCTCGTGGCATGCTTGAGGTTACCTCGCAACTGTGAGCTCTTCTTCCAACTTCCACCTGTACCGAAAAGAGCAATAAATTCCTCCCCTTGCTGCTGCAGCTCACCATCTGTCTGCTCGTTCTCTCCCCCTCTGCCCTCCGAGCCGACTGATTCACCACAATATGATTACAAGTATTTGTTTTTCAATGAAATCATACTAGCTGCATACTTTGTGTTTATTATCACTTATTCTGTGAAATTAGGTAAGGTAGTAGTTTAGTATTCATAGCTGTGGCATTAGGCTGGAATTGTTCCTGCTTTAACCAGCACGTTTCTTTATTACATTATGACTAGGTACACTTACTGATTCCACTAGTGATGGACCAATCATAAACAAATTCCTTCGATCAGGACTACTCAATCTGCTGTCCTTCTACTGCAGTACATTCCTACAACCACATCTTTAATTGCTGTGTTGCTCCTACAATTATCGATTTAGCTGTTCATTAAATCACTAAGGAGCTGGTTTCAGTAAAGCTGTAATGGAGTACACTGGAGGGGCTGTAAGCTGAGGAGCCCTGTCTTAGACAATAAAGGCTAAGGTCAAAATGTTTCTGATTTAGAAATAGAAAAGTTGCATTGTAAAAGACAGGTCTACAAATTACAGAAGTTTTTTTTTTGTATGTACCTACCATGTAAATCTAAATAAAATGTATTTGATGTAAACTACCTGCATTTTGAAAGTTTTTCTCCTGGTTACAATTTTGATTGTTTTAAAGCTGTTTAATATTACTTTAAAAGGCAAATGCCATGGCTTTCTTTCAAACGAACCATAAAAATCACAAAGCAATCCCTTAACACCTCTGCCACCTGCAAATTAAAAACCTAAAACCTGATAGTGGTTTTCCAGCTGCATTTACACAAATCTGACATCAGGCAGTGGACTGGAATCTGAGACTGAGGTACACTTTGTAGTTTAGAATCTCAGAGTTTCCTGCAACAAGGGAATGTTTCCAGAGTTGTTTTTTTTTAGAATAAACTGCTAAATAAAATTATGTTTGGTACAAAACAAAGGCAACCTAATTGCTGACCAAACGTTAAATGTTTAACACTTAAACAATTTGTTCTTCCCTATTTTAATTCTGTTTGAAATCCCTGAACGAAAAGAAAAGCTTTTAGTTCCCCCGTGTGACAGCTCATGTTTGAAGTCTGCAGTTTACTCATGAAAGAGTGCTGCGTAAAAATCTTTGCCTATACAGTATATACAGCAGGCACCAGTGCTCCTGTTGGGCCATTCTTATTTTTTGATGAGAACAATTCCTAAAAAACAAAATCTGGATACTTATTTTCTTTCTGTTTGAAAAATTGGTACAGTAAATGTCTCATTTTACTCAACTTCTGCACACGATTACTTGAATTCTTTAGACAGCAATCTCTCCCTGTCCTAACACTTTATTGATGGCTTCTACTAGCAGTGTCACAATATCCTAAAGGTATGGCATCAAATGGTTTTCTGTAGCTCAAATCCCTTGCAAATATCAAATAAAATATTTGTAGACCTGTGTTATGTCTCTGTGCTTGTGTACTCTGGACAGTCCTCTCACCCCCGGCTACACATACAAAATGAAGAATGAAGGTACTGTACATCATAAACTTAATTTCACTTCTTTAAGTGACACCATGACACCACATACAAAAATACAAAGTCTTGTCAGCATTTCAGCTTAACTGTGCCAAAGATGAACATAAATGATATATAGAGGAAACAAATATTGTAGAAAACACTACTTCTGTAGTCAACATTTGCTTAGGGAAATTCAGCCACACAGTTAAATTATGCATGTTTACAAAATCCTTGTTTTATGCATCTACAAAATCCTTAATATTCAGTTTTGTGAAAACTTTTTTTCCCAGCATTACACCAATCTCAACAATACAATAAATCATGGAACCAAAAAAATTAAATTGACCCTGGAAAACTGATGACTTTAATCCTCAGATTCATACAAAGGTTAGGTACTGCAACCAGACACCAGGATAAATTTGAACACTTATCTGGATGGTAATCCCATTAACAATGTACTGCTAGGGTGGATCTGTAAAGCCATTTTTCTCACTGTTCACTTGCTGTATTTTATCAGAAGGCTTTTCCAAAACAGTCACTGAAACCCAGTAAAGCAACACTATTAAAAAAGGATTTGGGCCATGCACATGAAAAAAAATGATTTAAAAAATAATCAGAACCTATTGTTTTAAGAGAACAAGCAATTGAAAAATACCTTTGTTGGCAGTTTTGAAGTTGCAATGAGTCACAGCTTCACTAATTTGCACTTCATTGCGTGCTTAGAAATTACCGTCAGAGAGACGTGGTTTAGCAAGTAACTATCACTACGCATTACACCTGCTCAGAATACAGAAGAACATTACTTACTGTTGTACAGCTGCTGTCACATTTATCTTCTAGAAATCCAATTTTGCAAAGCGTCTTTTCATTCCGCAACCAATACTCGGTTGAATCCAACAAACTGTTGCTACACAGCACCTGGGAACCAAAGTAATTAATTGAATTAATTTAGACACATGTGGAACCCCATCCTTTAGCAATGCAATTTCAACCTTTCCTTCCAGAACCTTTCCATATGTACTTTTACAATGGACCTTCAAAGGATTGGCTTCAGCTGTCTAGTATGGTGAAGATAAAAATGTTGAAAAATAACATATTACTTGTACACTTTGGTCACATCTTGTCATTAATTCCAAAGTTTCCATTTTTGAAAAACCACCAGTGGTATCTACGGCATTAGAGGGTGGTGCAGCTCACAGTCAGAAGCTTGCTGTTTATTCATTTTTATGAGATTGATCAAAGGCCTAGCAATTGTCAGTCCAAAGCGCCACACTTCAGCCAACTCAAGAGCCGGGAGACCTCGACTTGACTTGATGAGAGCTGAGAGTGCTTAATAAACACAGGACGGCAGAGTTCTTCTTGGCTGTTTTGCTAATCAGAGGTACTCTCACCGGGGCTACTGGGAGCAAACGCAGACAGTAGAACATTCCAGTTTTAGAGCTATTTTATCCCTTGCATTCCCCTTCAGCTCCTCCTGGAGGAATAAGATGGGAAGGAATGCATTAGAGAGGCTGGCTCAAGTGTGTGTGTGTGTGTGTGTGTGTGTGTGTGTGTGTGTGTGTGTGTGTGCGTGCGCGTTTTGCAGGCCAGCAGTAAGGTTTACAACACTTTCACCATTTTTTTATGCTGTAGCGAATAATTAAGTTAATGGGTTGTGTGCCTTTTCAGAAGTAAGAGATGGGGGTTGAACGCGGTGCCGATTTATCCTGCATCAGCAAGGCGAGAAGTGTATGTGTTTCTAGTGTGCCCAGCCTCTGCTCGACAGAGCCCTGCGGTTTGAGCTGCAAGCCGATTTGCTCTTGTTTCACGCAATAAGCCTACATTGTAAGGGGAGCAGGGAAGAAAATATGTGTCTGTATTTCTTTGAATTAATACAAACGAATAGCTCAAACATTGCTTTCATGTGATTTGCACATCCTTCATACAGCTGCATGCTACCCTTCCTGATAGGCATGTTTAAAGGGAACAAGACAGTCACAGGTGGCTGGCTTCTGGGATAAATGGCTTATGAGCTGTGTTTGGGAAAGTTCAAGCTTGAGTTTATTGTCATATGTACCTCAGCACAATGAAATGCATGCCTGCACGTTTTCCTCACATGACAAATTCCTCAATAGATGACATAAAAGATGCCATAACATTGACATAGAAAATGACATCCCAATTCTTGAAGACAGGAACAGGGTAGAAGCAATACAGTAAGTCTAACCAGCATTTAGATAACAGATGTGTGCACTATTCAGAAGTGGCAGTATTTTGAGTTCAGTGAAAAACAGAGGGTTGTAAGTGGAGATGGGAGGATTTCAGAGGTGGGGTTTAGGAGTCTTATGGTGGGGCTGAAGATTTCTTTGAAAGTTTAAGTTAGAGTGTTGCTTGGGCAGAAGGATAATGCCAGAAACCCAAACATACCTGTCAGAAAGAAATAATTTTGGATCTATTTTTCTCACTAAATCTCACTAATCCTGATCTCTTTCCTTTGATAGTCCTGATGCTTTGATATAAACTGGACCTGTGTTGCTCTTTGCAATACACTGCCCTACCAAAAAAGAAGAAAATACTCCCTACAGCAGATTGGTCAACAACATCATGGCACTAGTTCCACTAGATGAGCTCTGGTCCTGGAGGGCTCCAGTTCGGTCAGTCCAGTGGTCTACATCCCTGTTCCTGCCAAGCCCCGGTCCTGTCAGTCCGAGAGTCTCCCACCCAGGTCCTGTGAAGCCCCAGTCC